GATGTTGCAAGTATATGGAATAGGTGGTAAGTTATTAAATGCTGTAAAAGAGTTTTATGAGGATAGTGAGGCTCAGGTTAGGGTGTGTAGAAGAGAGGGAGACTATTTCCCGTAAAAGTAGGTCTTAGACAGGGATGTGTAATGTCACCATGGTTGTTTAATATATTATAGATGGGGTTGTAAAGGAAGTAAATGCTAGGGTGTTCGGGAGAGGGGTGGGATTAAATTTTGGGGAATCAAATTTCAAAATGGAATTGACACAGTTACTTTTTGCTGATGATACTGTGCTTATGGGAGATTCTAAAGAAAAATTGCAAAGGTTGATGGATGAGTTTGGGAATGTGTGTAAAGGTAGAAAGCTGAAAGTGAACATAGAAAAGAGTAAGGTGATGAGGGTGTCAAATGATTTAGATAAAGAAAAATTGGATATCAAATTGGGGTGGAGGAGTATGGAAGAAGTGAATGTTTTCAGATACTTGGGAGTTGACGTGTCGGCGGATGGATTTATGAAGGATTAGGTTAATCATAGAATTGATGAGGGAAAAAAGGTGAGTGGTGCGTTGAGGTATATGTGGAGTCAAAAAACGTTATCTATGGAGGCAAAGAAGGGAATGTATGAAAGTATAGTAGTACCAACACTTTTATATGGGTGTGAAGCTTGGGTGGTAAATGCAGCAGCGAGGAGACGGTTGGAGGCAGTGGAGATGTCCTGTTTAAGGGCAATGTGTGGTGTAAATATTATGCAGAAAATTCGGAGTGTGGAAATTAGGAGAAGGTGTGGAGTTAATAAAAGTATTAGTCAAAGAGGGCAGAAGAGGGGTTGTTGAGGTGGTTTGGTCATTTAGAGAAAATGATCAAAGTAGAATGACATGAAAGCATATAAATCTATAGGGGAAGGAAGGCGGGGTAGGGGTCGTCCTCGAAAGGGTTGGAGAGAGGGGGTAAAGGAGGTTTTGTGGGCGAGGGGCTTGGACTTCCAGCAAGCGTGCGTGAGCGTGTTAGATAGGAGTGAATGGAGACGAATGGTACTTGGACCTGACGATCTGTTGGAGTGTGAGCAGGGTAATATTTAGTGAAGGGATTCAGGGAAACCGGTTTATTTTCATATAGTCGGACTTGAGTCCTGGAAATGGGAAGTACAATGCCTGCACTTTAAAGGAGGGGTTTGGGATATTGGCAGTTTGGAGGGATATGTTGTGTATCTTTATATGTGTATGCTTCTAGACTGTTGTATTCTGAGCACCTCTGCAAAAACAGTGATAATGTGTGAGTGTGGTGAAAGTGTTGAATGATGATGAAAGTATTTTCTTTTTGGGGATTTTCTTTCTTTTTTGGGTCACCCTGCCTCGGTGGGAGACGGCCGACTTGTTGAAAAAAAAAAAAGTATACACCTACCGTCCGACTTACGACCAAGCTTGGTTCCGACCAACTGGTCGTAAGTCAAAATGGACGTGAGTCGAACCTTTGAAAATTGCCGACATACTGGGTAGGGCATAATGTCAAACCTTTTATATATAAACTACCTACATAGTACTGTAATGTAATGTACAATCATTATTTCATTCTTTTTACCATAATTTACTTCTATTGTTATATTTTAATTATTTTTGTACTTTATATAATGTATACATGTTAGTGAACTGTATTGTAAATTTTACATCGCATACAGTATCATATGTTACTGTTATCTTTATGTATTGTTGACACAGTGGAATGGGAGAATACCACTGGTAGTGTCATCCTACCAGAATGTAGTATAACCTATACCCTAAGTAAAGAGAAACAACTCTGGAACATGTGTAATACGTATCCGGCAGGCTGGCTGGCTGGCCGGGTGGGTGGCCAGGTGGGTCGCCGGGTGGGTAGCCGGGTAAGTGGGTAGCCCTGGATAAGTGAACTCCATCCCTGGCATACATGTCATTTCGGCCATAGAAGTTGTCCCAGTTGTCAATGAATGGTACTGCATTATCCTACAGTGTTTATCCAGCCAACAATTAATACCAATTGCTCTGGACAACCATTCATTTCCAACACCCCTTCTTGGCAAAATGCCACATATAACAGGGTGCCCCCCTTCTTCCTAATTATGTCTATTGCTGTCCTGAACCTTCTAACTAAATCCTCACTTCTACACTTGCCTACATCATTGCCTCCAGCACTGAGGCAGATAATAGGATTGATCCCATTACCGTTCATGATGTTGTCAAGCCGGCTAACAATGTCCTCCATCCCAGCCCCAGGAACGCAAACCCTCTGTCTCCTACTCCTGTCCTTCAAGCAGAACGCCCTATCCATGTACCTAACCTGGCTATCCCCAACAACAACAATATTCTTACCTTCCTCGGTGTCGTTCGTCGTGACATTTCCAGTAGTCGACACACATTCGTCAGGTAGCACAGAGAATGCACTAGATGTTTCCACAACAGTTTCCACAGCAGTCTCTTTCTTCTTCATCGTTTCTACCTTTCCATTTGTCTTCTTGATCATCAACTTCGTTCCGTGCTTTCCAGCCACTGTCCAGTTTTCCTTCTTGACCTGAGGACTCAGAACAGGAGGACTGCTATGAATCCTTTTGTTTCTCTCAGTCAGTCGTTGTATCTCCATCTTCGCTACCCTCAATTCTTCCTTAAGCTGCTGGTAAAGTTGCTCGATGGAGGGCATCTTGGTTCAATCCAAGGAGAGTACGCTAATCGTCCTCGCTGAGCTAAGTACACATCACTACTGACAGAACAAATGCTACCCAAGTAAAGAGCTCAGGTGCAAGTCTGACTCAAATCCAACTCCTCTCACTCATGTATTTATCTAACCTAAATTTGAAACTACCCAAGCCATAGCTTTCAGAACATAAGAACATAAGAAAGGAGGAACACTGCAATAGGCCTGTTGGCCAATACTAGGGAGGTCCTTCACAAATCCAACCGACTAACAGAACAAATGCTACCCAAGCAATAAGCTCAGGTGCAAGTCTGACTCAAATCCAACCCCTCTCACTCATGTATTTATCCAAGCTAAATTTGAAACTACCCAAGTCATAGCTTTTAGAACATAAGAACATAAGAAAATCATGTCAGGACTTACATAACTGTAATTCTACATTTAAAAATGTAGAATTACAGTTATATTTGAATTGTGTGAGATCAAAAATACAAGTATTAAACTGCCATATAAATAAAGTTGACCATCAGATAACACAATAGTTAACATTTCTAAAAACGGCTTGTAGTCAATAATGAGTGTAAACTGAAGTGAGAAACATATGGGAAAAATAGGGTTACATTCTAAACTTACAAGAAAGTCAAAAAAATTTTGTATAGGTCTTTAAATTGTAAAAAACAAGGCTAACAATGTAATTGTAGATCAGTGTGGTGATATGCACCAGTCCAAGATCCTACATCCACATCTCTGCTAGCAGACAGGTGCTTTATTGTTCGGTTGTCACACTCGTTACAACTGTATGTGAGTTATAAAGTTGGGGCTAGAATGGTTGGGGTGTACAAGGGAGGGGTTAGAGCAGTTAGGGTATACATGAGAGGTGTTAGAGCGGTTGGGGTTTAGGGATTCGGTATGGGAGTGGTGGACTGAATGGTGGATGGGTGGGGTCAGGAGCTGAAGGCTGATGTTAGAGGGTGGAGAATGCTTGGTGGTGGAGGAGTGTGGGAGGTGGAGGTTGGAAGCAGTGAGGTGGTATGATTGTGACCAAGCGGGTGGCAGTGTCAGTGGCTGGTGTGGGTAGTGGTGTGGATGATGGGTGACTGGGTGGGTGAGTGTATGGGTGTTAGCACTGGTGGTAATGAAAATGGTGGGTGACTAATTGACTAGATGTGTGGATGGCATGTTAGTGTGTGGGCCATGAAAGCATGGGTAAGGTGTGGGTATGAGGCTGTGGGAGTGGAGCTGTGTGGTTGAAGCTGTGGGGAAGTGGTGTAAGTGAAAAGTGTAGTTAAGAGGCCACATTGGCTTAAAGCTGTAGGCTAGTGGTGTAGGTGAAAGATGTGGTTGTCAGTGGCCCAGTGTGTGTGTGGTGATGTGGATGATGGGTGACTAAGTGGGTGGGTGTTCAGTTGTTGGTGTAGGCAGTAAAGAGAGTGGTAGATGGCTAAGTGATTAGGTATGTGGATGGTGCATTAGGGTGAAAAGTCGAGTAAGATATGGATGTCAGGTTGTTGGGAAATGGTGTGGGTGAGGGCAAGGGACTGAACAAGGTGTGGTCTTGAGGTAGAGGGAAAATGTGGCCACATGGGGAAATGGTGTGGGTGTGTAGTTGTAGGAGGAATATTGTATGGGCAGTTTGTGTGGGTGGAGGCCTCTGGTTGGAATGGTATGGATAAAGGTGTGTGGCTGTGGGTAGTTCTATGGGTATATATGTTTGTCATAGTTCACAGGAGGTCACAACCTGGGTTACTCATTGCCTAAGCTCATATCTTTGCTACATTCTTTTTAATTGTCTGAATTGATATCTCATTCAGACCTTAGGCTTGTGCCAGCTCCATCACATATTTGCCGCTGTTAAGCTTATCTAATACTATCTTGATTTTCTTTGAAGCAACAGGACTTTCACATTTATACTTCATTGCAGTTCCAGGTTCACTTGCATTATTCTTGGGGTGCTATGGTTACTATCCAGAAATAAGATGGGATGGAGAAAATATCAGATATTGATTCACCAACACAGGCCAAGTATGGTATTGGACACGTACAAATGAAGCACTGGGTGAGGGAGGTTGTATATATTATATAGGACTGCCCCATAAGACTGGACTCACCCTGAGGCTCACTGAGGCACAGGGAAAAGAATGTGGTGCAAACCACATTTTCCCCTTTGTGCACTACACCGTGTAAATCAATTTTTATGGTGTGCTCACCAAAAATATGCCACAATTTTGCAACCATGTTAGAACAAAACATGTTATTGGATCACATGTTATCTGATGGTCTACTGTACCCTTGTGTCTTTGCTCATGCATCTGTATATTATTAAAAAAATTATTAATTTGTTGCAGTGTCCCAGAAGCACAAGATTGTAGCGCAAAGTCGACCATCAAAAATCAAGTGCAAGTTTTTCCCAAAGTGTACCAACATGTCTTGTTCTTTCTTTCACCCAAAAGTAAGTTTATTGTCATATTTCATGTCTTTTCTTTAATGCAAGTATGTATTTGCAGGTGATAATGAATTAATGAATAATTACGTATTTTATTTATTAACACCTTTGCTTTTCTGTGTATGCCATGGATATACCCAGTCTTAACAAAGACACTGTTATCATTACCTATAATTGCCACCATTAACCCTTAAACTGTCCAAATGTAGATCTATGTCCACGTGTGGGGGGCTCCAAACGTAGATCTCCATTTTTTTTTTTACATGCTTTCAAATGGGGAAAATCAAGGTCAGAGCATTACGCACATGAATGTAGATCTGCATTTGGACATTTTAAGGGTTAAGACTTGACAAATAAAATAACAGATGGAAGAGTTATGAAAATAACTGTTGAGAAATTGAGAAATTATCTAGTATGAATAAAAGAAGAATTTGCGAATACATTACTGCTTTCTGAAAGTGGAAACATGAGGATAATAGAGTTAGGAAGGGTTGTACTCCATGTATTGATTGTGATGTACAGTAAATTCCTGACCTGATTTTCTGCTCTTCCGATGTTGTCATTCTGAAATAGGTTAAAGTGAATCCTCAATTTAACAGACTAATGGGAACAGTATCTGTTAGCCCCTTAACTGTCGAAACGTAGATCCACATTCTTACCGCTAGTGCTCCAAACGTAGATCTACGTTATATTTTTCCTGCCTTCAAATTTGGCGCGATAGGCCTGAGCAGCCTAGACATGAGAGAATGAGTTTGTGCACTCAGTGTGCGCTGTATGAAAAAAAATCGGGGACCAGTTAGTTTCAGCGCCAGTTAGTTTCAGCTCCATTTTGGGTCAGTATCATGGCAAATCCTTGTGATCCACTCATGCATCGTCGTATCAACACACTCTTGTTCGAAGAAAGTGATATAGATTGTGAGTTTAGTGGATTTGAGACTGATATGGCCACTAATGATTAAGGAATTGGTGAAAATATTGATGATGACCCTCAGCCCATCACCTCTGGGGTGGCCAGTGGGGCCACACCAGACCCTTAGCCAAGCACCTCTGGGGTGACCAGTGTTGCAACTCAGAGGCTACTACACAAGAGGAAATGATCATACTCTGTCAGTTTTGGTGAAGAAGAGAGTGAATGTGATATAAGTGATGACGAGATTGATTGTATGTAGGTAGCAGGTTGGTAGACAGCAACCGCCCAGGGAGGTACTACCATCCTGCCAAGTGAGTGTAGAACGAAAGCCTGTAATTGTTTTACATGATGGTAGGATTGCTGGTGTCTTTTGTCTGTCTCATAAATATGCAAGATTACAGGTACGTCTTGCTACTTCTACTTACACTTAGGTCACACTTCACATACGTGTACAAGCATATATATACACACCCCTCTGGGTTTTCTTCTATTTTCTTTCTAATTCTTGTTCTTGTTTATTTCCTCTTATCTCCATGGGGAAATGGAACAGAATTCTTCCTCTGTAGGCCATGCGTGTCGTAAGAGGCGACTAAAATGCTGGGAGCAAGGGGCTAGTAGCCCCTTCTCCTGTATATATTACTAAATTTAAAAGGAGAAACTTCAGTTTTTTCTTTTGGGCCACCCCACCTCGGTGGGATACGGCTGGTATGTTGAAAGAGAAGAAAAAGAAGCAGGTTGGTAGACAGCAACCACCCAGGTAGGTACTACCGTCCTGCCAAGTGATTGTAAAAAGGAAGCCTTTATTTGTTTTACATGATGGTAGGATTGCTGGTGTCTTTTGTCTGTCTCATAAACATGCAAGATTTCAGGTACATCTTGCTGCTTCTACTTACACTTAGGTCACACTACACATACATGTACATGTTTATGTATACACACTCATCTGAGTTTTCTTTGATTTAATCTTAATAGTTCTTGTTCTTATTGCTTTTCCTTATATATTCATTGGGAAGTGGAATAAGAATCTTTCCTCCATAAGCCATGCGTGTTGTAAAAGTCAACTAAAATGCCAGGAACAATGAGCTAGTAACCCCATTTCCCGTACAGCCTACTAAAAAGAAAAAGAAGAAAACCGTCAAAGTGGGATGTTTGAACGTGCGTGGATGTTGTGCGAATGATAAGAAAGAGATGATTGTGGATGTTATGAATGAGAAGAAGCTGGATGCCCTGGCTTTAAGTGAAACAAAGCTGAAGGGGTGGGAGAGTTTCAGTGGGGAGAAATAAATGGGATTAGGTTTAGGGGTTTCAAATAGAGTTAGAGCTAAAGAAGGATTAGCAATAATGTTGAAGGATAAGTTATGGCAGGAAAAGAAGGAATATTAATGTATAATTCAAGGATTATGTGTCAGAAAATAAAGGTTGGATGTGAAAAGTAGGTTATAGTAAGTGTTTGTGTACCTGGAGAAGAGAGAAGTGTAGAGGAGATTAGAGAGAGATTTTGGGAAGTGTTGAGTGAGTGTGTGGGGAGTTTTGAATCTAGTGAGGGAGTACTTGTGGTTGGGGATCTCAATGTTAAAGTGGGTAAAAATGTTGTGGGGAGAGTAGTAGGTAAATTTGGGGTGCCAGGGGTAAATGAAAATGGGGAGCCTTTAATTGAGCTATGTGTAGAAAGAGGTTTGGTAATAAGTAATACATATTTTATGAAGAAGAGGATAAATAAGTATACAAGGTGCAATGTAGCATGTAATGAAAGTAGTTTGTTAGATTATGTATTGGTGGATAAAAGGTTGATGGGTAAGCTTCAGGATGTACATGTTTATAGAGGGGCAACTAATATATCTGATCATTATTTAGTCGTAGCTACAGTTAGAATAAGAGGTAGATGGGACAAAAGGAAAATGGCAAGAGCAAGTAAGAGAAAGGTGAAAGCATATAAACTAAGGGAGGAGGAACTTAGAGTGAGATATAAGCAACTATTGACAGAAAGGTGGGTTAGTGCAAATATGAGTAGTAGGGGAGGAGGATTGAAGAGGGTTGGAATAGTTTTAAAAAGTGCAGTGTTAGAATGTGGGGCAGAAGTTCGTGGTTATAGGAGGGTGGGTGCAGGAGGAAAGAGGAGTGATTGGTGGAATGATGAAGTAAAAGGTGTGATAAAAGAGAAAAAGATAGCTTATGAGAGGTTTTTACAAAGCAGAAGTGTTATAAGAAGAGCAAAGTATATGGAGAGTAAAAGAAAGGTGAAGAGAGTGGTGAGAGAGTGCAGAAGGAGAGCAGATGATAGAGTGAGAGAGGTACTGTCAAGAAATTTTGCAGAAAATAAGAAAAAATTTTGGAGTGAGATGAACAAGCTAAGAAAACCTAGGGAACGAATGGATTTGTCAGTTAAAAATGGAGTAGGGGAGTTAGTAGGTGGGGAGCTATAGGTTTTGGGTAGATGGCGGGAATATTTTGAGGAACTTTTAAATGTCAATGAAGAAAGGGAGGCGGTAATTTCATGTGCTGGCCAGGGAGGTATAACATCTTTTAGGAATGAAGAAGAGAAGGATGTGAGTGTGGGGAAGGTGCATGAGGCATTACATAGAATGAAAGGGGGTAAAGCAGCTGGAACTGACGGGATCATGACAAAAATGTTAAAAGCAGGGGGGATGTAGTGTTGGAGTGGTTGGTATTTTTGTTTAGCCCCTAAACGGTTCAAACGTATATATACGTTCTCTCGCCCAGTGCCCCAAATATTTTGAAAAATAATTTTTTTTTTTCATTGAAATAAAGGGAAAATTTTTCTAAGTGTTATAGGATTAAAATAAAAAAATTAGGGTCAGTACTTACTGAGATATGAGGCTGCAAAGTTGGCACTTAATGCTCACCTGATGGCAACATAGAGTCCTGCCACTTGCAGAAGTGTTGCTGATATACCATTTTTCTCATTTTTATATTTTATATAATTTTTATGTTCTGATAATTACAATTTATTGTAGTTCTTGTCATTTCATAACCAATCTTTGTTCTGACACTAATAGTAGGTACTGAATTTGTACTCAAATTGTCACAAACACATTGATAGGTAGACATTTACACCTGCCTTGGTCATTTACTATTGTCTAGGAATATATACAAAGTATTTATAGGTCCCAGCAATGTTTTGGATACACGGGAGTATAGAAGAAGAAGAAGAAGGAAGAAGTTCTCTTGAAGCAATGTGTAAGACAAGTATCAGTGACAAGCATCCTGGAGGGCAGTGATAAGATGAGATAAGGGATGACATTTGATGGGCACCACCGAGGGTGCAGAGATAAGATGAGATAATGCAGAGATAAGATGAGATGAATCCCTTTAGTGAAGGGATTCAGGGAAACCAGTTATTTTTATATAGCCGGACTTGAGTGCTGGAAATGGGAAATACAATGCCTGTAATTTAAAGGAGGGATTTGGGATATTGGCAGTTTGGAGGGATGTGTTATGTATCTTTATACAGTGGACCCCCGGTATACGATATTAATCCATTCCTGACAGCTCATCGTATGCCAAAATTATCGGAAGGCGAATTAATTTTCCCCATAAGAAATAATGGAAATCATATCCGTGCAAGACACCCAAAAGTACTATGAAAAAAAAGTTTTAACACATGAAATATTAGGTTTAATACACACAAACTGAAGAAGACATGCACAATTAGTAGTACTCTACTAACAATAGAATACATGACACTTACCTTTAATGAAGATCTGGTGATGATTGATGGGATGGGAGGAGGGGAGAGTGTTGAAGTTGTTAATGTTTAGAAGGGGAATCCCCTTCCATTAGGACTTGAGGTAGCAAGTCCTTTTCCGGGGTTACTTCCCTTCTTCTTTTAATGCCACTAGGACCAGCTTGAGAGTCACTGGACCTCTGTCGCACAACAGATCTGTCCATAGAGCTCTGTACCTCCCGTTCCTTTACGATTTGTCTAAAATGGGCCACAACATTGTCATTGTAATAGTCACCAGCACGTCTTGCAATAGCTATGTTAGGGTGATTTTCATCCATAAAGGTTTGCAGTTCAGCCCACTTTGCACACATTTCCTTAATTTTTGAAGTAGGCACAATGGATTCCACAACTGGCATAGGCTTCTCAGGGTTAGCCCCAAACCCTTCAAAATCTTTCTTAATTTCCATACTAATTCTCACCCTTTTTACCACAGGGTTGGTACTAGAAGCTTTCTTGGGGCCCATGGTGACTTATTTTGCAGAAACAAGCCCCAAAAACACTGATAATATGGAATGTACCAAGTGTATGCTTAGATGCAAGCACATTGACTGGCTTGTAAACACTGGCACGCACGGGGCAGTTCAGGCCACAAGTGGATACGTCTCGGACGAATCACGTATACCAGGTTTTTTAACGGGAACCGAGGCAAAATTTTTGCGTTAAAATGTATCGAATACCAGATTTATCGGATACTGATGCCATCGCAAACCGGGGGTCCACTGTAGTTGAATGGGCAGTTTCTTGTACTCATCAATAGAATGGAAGCCATACTAGCAAAATAGCTAAGAATATGGTCAATTGGAACAATGGAACTGGCCAAAAATCGGACTCGTAGTGGATGAAATCACCAATGCCTAAATATAGCCTCACCCCACTTAACGATGGAGTTCCGTTCCTAAGACCACGTCGACAAACGAATTCGTCGCTAAGTAAGGAACATACTTTAAGGGTAGTAGGTTTGTGACAACCATCTTCGATACAGTTTTAATGTCACCTTTGCACCTTTTATAACATTTCTGGTATATTTTTAAATGTTTATGCAATAGTGTACTATGTGTTGTAATAAACAGATAGAGGAAATCAGCTCTAATATACATTATTTAGGTATGCATACTGGTCCAAGTTGTCAGTAAATGAGTATGTCACTAAGTGAGGAGAGGCTGTACTGTATTACTAACACAGCAAAATAACTTTATTTTTCTTTTTTTCTTTTTTTTAGATTTTGCGACCCAGAGAGCAATGGTTAAATCTGGCTAACCAGTTTCTTGAATTTCTTCTTAACCCTTTCAGGGTCAAGAGGCCCTCTCCTAAACTTGTTCTCAGGGTCGAAAATTTTTCAGGAAAAAAAATTATTTTTTTCTTATGAAATGAAAGAGAATCTTTTCCTGATCATAATGATACCAAAAGTATGAAATTTGGTGGAAAACTTACGGAATTATGCTCTCACAAAGTTAGCGGTCTCGACGATGTTTACGCATCGGTGATTTCTCCCACTTTGAGCCCTATTTTCGGCCAATTCCAATGTACTAGCCGACAAAAATCGTAACTATTTTGCTAGAACTCCATTTTTTCTATCAAATGAGTACAACAAACCACCCATTTACCGATTTCAACTGTCCAGTGAAGTTGTCGTCAGAAATTGGCAATTTTACCAATTTCACACAAATTTCAAAAGATGCCAATTTCCAAATAGGGTCCAGAATAAAAAAGACAGACATTCCTGGCACTAAGATAACATTTCCTCTGTTCATTAGTTACGTCCCGAGGCCCCTCTTACATTTCTTTTGCTTTCCACTTTGAATTCTTATTCTCACAAAAAATAGAAGATTTACTGTTATGCAGACTACTGCATTAGTGTAGAAATGGTATAAATAATATCAGCACACTTGTGAAAGAATATTAGACTCACCAGTTGACATATATTGGACGCATTGCATGATTTGTTTACTTTTGAACTTTGGCAAAAATCGAACATTTCTGCTACTTTGAGCTCAATATCAAGGTACTTTTCATCGTGAAACCAATCAAAGTCATTTCAATTTCTGTAATATGTCTTCCATTCTATAAAGTGAGACCAGGAAAACTAGAATACAACAATATATACCATACGAAAATAGAGTGCAAAGTCACTGTTTTAAACCAAAAACACGGTGAAAGTTTTTTTTCTCATTATGCACTGTGCTGCAGGATTTTTTTTATACTGTGCTCACTGACCACACAGACCCATTCTTTTATATCTAGGCCTACCAGCTTTCTCTCGCAAGATTTGAAGGCGCTAGAATTTACGCGTACTAGTACGTCAATAACCCTGGTGTGTAAGACGTGCTAGTACGTCAGAAACCCTGAAAGGGTTAAATGTTACCTTGCTCACATTCTATTAACACATTCATCAAAAACCACTTTCCTCCATTCACCCCTATCTAACATGCTCACACAAGCCTCCTAGATGCTCAAGCTTAAAACTCAAGAGCCTCCTTTACCACTTCCCTCCAGCAGTTTCTAGAAAGACCTTTACTGCTTATACCTTCCACCCCAGATTTATACACTCCTCTTTGTCATCCTGTCCCCTTCCATTTACTTTTAATATCTATACCACCTCAAAAACCCCTCTTCAGCCCTCTGAATTATACCCTTGGTTATCCTGCACTATCTTTTAATTTCTACACTCTGAATTCTCTGCACAATACAGTATTCACACTACACATTGCTCTCAAATATAGCATCTTTTCTGTCTCTAGTCTCCTCACTGCAATATTCCAAGCCCTATACCTCACCCATATAAGTGTTAATACAGGTTGGCCATCACTAATCCGGCAGTCAGTAATCCGATTCCATCAGTATTACAGCACTAATTTTGGCTAGCATAATTTCAAATTTTTAGGGTCGCCACACCAACCTGTCGCTACTGTTTGGTGGCGCTACTTGCTGCACAAGTCATTCCAATTTCTTTTTCTCCATTTATTGTTATAACCTGCTCACTTTTAGCGCTAGCCATGGTTCCAGTGAATAACAGAAATGCTTCTCGTTGTGTAAGGCACATAATCCGTACATTGTCCATAAAAGATAAGGTAACTTTGAAGTCACTTTCAGTCACCATGAGCTCAACTCACTTAGATAAGCCGTGACTGGTAAATTTAAGCCTACGTATGAGAGAATAGGACTGTGTGGTAAGTGTGCACTATATAAAAAAATCCTGCAGCACGCAGTCCATAATAAGAAAAAACTGCGACTGTGTTTATGGTGTAAACCCGACTTTGCAGTGTATTTTTGTATGGTTTTTATGGTTGTATTCTCATTTTTTTTATTTCATTTGATAGAATGGAAGATATATTACAGAAATATATATAGTTTTGATTGGTTTCATGGGAGAAAGTACCTTAACCCTTTGACTGTTTTCGACGTATAAATACATCTTAAGAGCCAATGTTTCTGACGTATATATACTCAATAATTCTAGCGGCTTCAAATCAAGCGGGAGAAAGCTGGTAGGCCCACATGTGAGAGAATGGGTCTGTGTGGTCAATGTGCACCACATAAAAAAAATCCTGCACCACACATTGCGTAATGAGAAAAAAAAAAAGATAATTTTTTTGGAATAAAACGCCAAATTTGAGGTGTATTTTTGTATAGTATTTATCGTTGTATTCGCGTTTTCATGGTCTTAGGTGATAAAATGGAAAACATATTACAGAAATAGAGATGATTTTCATTACTTTGACGATGAAAACGACCTTGAAACTGAGCTCAAAGTAGCGGAAATGTTCGATTTTTACCAATGTTCAGGAGTAAATAAATCACACCACACGTCCAATACACGTCAACTGGGGAGTCTAATATTCTTTCACTAGTGCACTGATATTATTTATACCATTTTTGCAATAATGCAGTAGTCTGCATAACAGTAAATTTTGTATTTTTTTGTATGAATAAAAAATCAAAATAGAAAGCAATAATAATATAAGAGGGGCCTAGAGATGTGACTAATGAACAGAGCATATGTTATTTTAGTGCCACGAATGTCTACCTTGTTTATTCTGGACCCTATTTTGAAATTGGCATCTTTTTTAGTTTGCATGAAATTGGCCAAATTGCCAATTTCTGACCACCATATTGGGTTGTCCAAATTAGTAAATGGGAGGTTTCTTGTACTCAGCTGATAGATAAAATGGAGTTCTAAAGAAATAGCTATGAGTTTGGTCAACTGGAACAATGGAATTGGCTGAAAATAGGGCTCAAAGTCGGCGAAATCGCAGATACGCATATGTCGCCGAGACCGCTAACTTCGCGGGAGCATAATTCCATGAGTTTTCGACCAAATTTCGATCTTTTGGTGTCATTACCATCGGAAAAAGATTCTCTATCATTTCATAAGAAAAAATATTTTTTTTTTTTTTCAAAAATTGAACGACATAGAATGACAGTTTCAGAAAGGGGCCTGAAACAGTCAAAGGGTTAAAATTGAGCTCAAAGTAGCAGAAATGTTCAATTTTTGCCAATGTTCAAGAGTAAACAAATGTCACCATCCAATACGTGTCCAACTGGCTGGTCTAATGTGCAGTCATGAATGGGTTGGCATTATTTATACAATTATTACAATAAGGCAGTAGTCTGCATAACAGTAAATCTTCTATTTTTTATGTGAATAAAAATTCAAAATGAAAAACAAGCATAATATAAGAGGGGCCTGGAGATGTGACTAATGAACAGAGAAAATGTTATTTTAGTGCTAAGAATATTTGCATTGTTTATTCTGGACCCAGTTTTGAAATTGGCATCTTTTGAAATTTGTGTGAAATTGGCTAAATTACCAATTTCTGACCACTTTATTGGGTAGTTGGAATAGGTGAATGGGCGGTTTCCTGTACTCAGTCAACAGAAGTCCTGGCCAAGTCTGCAAGAGTAGAAGAACTCTTGAAGCTGGTCACAGGCATGCCTCCTTTACATACATTATTATTTTACTTTTCTTTTGCTGTATTTGTATTGTACTAGTCATTAATTTATTGAATTTTTAAAATCTGAATATGTATATTTGCAGGCCTGTTTTTATGGAATATCATGCACACAAGCAAATTGCCCTTACACTCATCCAACAATACCAATGGGAGCCAAACTTAAATGGATTGCTCCAAAGGCTTCTGTAGCACCGGTTTCAACTTCTACTGCTCCTAATGACAAAGCTAAGGAAATTGAAAGACAGGATAAAAGTTTACTGAAAGACTAGAATTCACCCAGATGTATATCTAGAGAATTAATGATATACTGTGTTACATACATAGTTGCCTCTCCACCCAGTGACACAGGAAACTCGGTAATCATAATCAGTTGCATTTAGCAATTTATGCAGGTACTGTACTCTGTATAATCTGTAGGTGTAAAAACATTTTTATTGATTATATTAATATTTGCATTTATATTTGACTGAAAACTCGTCCCACCCTTTTACCATCTAAATTTAGAAAGTATTTTCTGTGAATATGTGTAATTACATTGGAAAATTTTATCTTGTGTGTTGCAAAACACAAATTTGTAGCAATAGCTTTGAGAGACAGTATAGTTGCTATAGTTGTTATGCTATAACTCACTCCATGTAGCATTTTGAATCTCTCGTAATTAAAAACTTTTTCCATCCTATTCTGTAAACTTGATGTGGATTTCTTATGGAACTTAATAACCAGTCATTTATGATGCATTACAGTTCTTGTTTATGATAGCACTGATTATGCAGCAATGATGTTATGCCTGAATATACTGATGGTACAATATCATTCTGAATAGATTATCAGGTCGAGTTTCACCTGTTTAGTGATGTATTGTATATTAATGCATACAAATTCCTACACTTATTGAACAGCCTTTTTTCTTTCAACCTTGACTTCCCAGTGAATTAATTAGCAGAAATGTGCAGGTATTGATATTTTGAAGATTTTTTTGTCAACCTATGTAAAAGTAGGAGAAATTCTAGTTTTTGCATTCCACTTAATGTATATACCATATATACTCTAGTATAACCCAAGCTTGTATATAGGTCAATACTGACCTTTGGCCCAAAAATCCTTAATTTTTCAGGTATCTTATGTTGAGGAACTTGAACCCTTTTACTCTCATGTAGATCTGTCTCTGAGGCCAGTGTCGCTTACATAGCTCTGTCTTAATCATAGCGCTCTCAGATATGCTGTGATAGGTAAATGTTAGCCTAGACAAGAGATAATAGATCTATGTGGTGGGTGTTTACAGCATAAAAAGAAAAAAATGACCCAAACAGTGCATGATGGTAATTTCTTGGTTGTTTCTTGGTGTCATTTGATAGACAGGTAAACATAATAGAGCAGTGGAGGTGATTTTGGTAAGTTTCAGATCGGAAGTGGAATGATTTGGAGAGCATATGAATCTGTAGGGGAAGGAAGACGGGGTAGGGGTCGTCCTTGAAAAGGTTGGAGGGAGAGGGTAAAGGAGGCTTTGTGGGTGAGGGGCTTGGACTTCCAGCCAGCATGCGTAAGCATGTTAGATAGGAGTGAATGGAGATGAATTGTTTTTGGGACCTGATGAGCTGTTGGATTGTGAGCAGGGTAATATTTTGTGAAGGGATTCAGGGAAACCAGTTAGCTGGACTTGAGTCCTGGAAATGGAAAGTACAGTGCCTGCACTTTAAAGGAGAGGGGTTTGGGATATTGGCAGTTTGGAGGGACATCTAAGCTGTTGTATCTGAGTGCCTCTGCAAAGACAGTGATTATGTATGAGTGATGGTGAAAGTGTTGAATGATGATGAAAGCATTTTCTTTTTGGGGATTTCCTTTCTTGTTGGGTCACTTTGCCTCGGTGGGAAACGGCCAGTGTGGTAAAAAAAAAAAAAATTTGCTAAGGAAGGGTAAACCCTTTTCCCCCTGGTCTGTTTCATGGGCTTTTACTAGGTCTTAAATTATTTGAATGGCCTAAACTGTAACAGATCACTCTTAGTTATATTTGTGTGGTGATGAATTCAGTTTTATATAGAGAGGCTGGGAGACATGATTAGCAAATAGAGGAAAGGTTGCTTTAGTAGCTGGAATGCCTACACTGTTTATTTTAGATTATTTTTAAATTGGAATTTGTTGAGTTTTGTGAGAAATTGGCTAAATTACTGTTTTCTGGATACTACTTTATAAAGTAGTTCTAATAGTTTAACTGGCAATTTCTTGTGCTAAATAAAGAGGGATGGAATTAGCCTAAAATAGGCCTCAAAGTGGACAAAAGTGCAGTTGCGCAAAGGGCTCCCCATCCTTCAACTTCGTACCTGCAAAATTCCATAAGTTTTCCATCAAATTTCATTTTTTTTTTTTATTTTTTTTTTTTTTTTTTTTATTCTTCTTCTTTCAACAAACCGGCCATATCCCACTGAGGCAGGGTGGCCCAAAAAGAAAAACAAAAGTTTTTCTTTTTAAATTTAGTAATTTATACAGGAGAAGGGGTTACTAGCCCCTTGCTCCTTGCATTTTAGTTGCCTCTTACAACACGTATGGCTTACGGAGGAAGAATTCTGCTCCACTTCCCCATGGAGATAAGAGGAAATAAACAAGAACAAGAACTTGAAAGAAAATAGCAGAAAACCCAGAGGGGTGTGTGTAGTATATATATGCTTGTACATGTACGTGTAGTGTGACCTAAGTGTAAGTAGAAGTAGCAAGACGTACCTGAAATCTTGCATGTTTATGAGACAGAAAAAAGGATACCAGCAATCCTACCATCATGTAAAACAATTACAGGCTTTCATTTTACACTTGCTTGGAAGGACAGTAGTATCTCCCTGGGGAATTGATATCTACCAACCTACTACTATAAAAAAATAGAAATATTCAGCCCAAATATTTGATAACCATAATAACAGAGGAGCACTGCCATAGGTCTAGTGCTCATGCTATTCAGGTCTATCTTAAACCCAGCCATTACATAACATACTGTAAGAAGAGGAGCACTGCAGTAGGCCTATTGTCTCATGTTAGACAGGTCATACTCACCCAGAAATTGCTTAACATAAGATAAGAGGAACTCTGCAGCAGGCCTCCTGACAGATGCTAGGCACACCCCACTCATAGCCAACTACAGTGGAACCTCTACTTGTGAGCACATCCATGTGCGAGTTTTTCAAAATACGAACAGTCGATGGGTCGATTTTTTGTTTCCATATGCGAGCAAAATTTCCATAAGTGAGCAGACCTCAAGGCAGGTTCCTTGACGCTGGTGAGGGGATCTTGCTCTTGATCTAGGGAATTGTATCTCATTTGTTTGTTGGACTATCTTATTGAAACTTGGGCAGTGTATGATGGAAAGATGCTTCTTAATGTATACCAAAAATGAAAAAAAATCTAAGCATAAATAATGGAGTTCACTTCTCAGCAATTAGCCACCCCTTAGCGGTATTTTCGTATGGTTTTTATGGTTGTATTCTTGTTTTTTTGGTCTCTTTTGATAGAATGGAAGATCTTTTCTTTCTTTCAACACACCGGCCGTATCCCACCAAGGCGGGGTGGCCCAAAAGGAAAAACGAAAGTTTCTCCTTTTACATTTAGTAATATATACAGGAGAAGGGGTTACTAGCCCCTTGCTCCCGGCATTTTAGTCGCCTCTTATGACACGCATGGCTTACGGAGGAAGAATTCTGTTCCATTTCCCCATGGAGAGGAATGGAAGATATATTTTCGGAAATAGATATGATTTTGATTGCTTTCACGATGAAAAGTACCTTGAAATTGAGCTCAACATAGGAGAAATGTTCGATTGTTTTGGCTATGTTCAAGAGTAAACAAATGTCCATTCCAATATGCAGTAGTGAATGGGTTGACATTATTTATACAATTATTGCAATATGGCATAACAGTAAATCTTATATTTTTTGTGTGAATAAAAGTTACAAATTATTTATATTGTAATAATAATAATAATAATAATAACGTAGTATGTATAATATGTTTTAGGTAGTAGGTTGGTAGACAGCAACCGCCCAGGGAGGTACTACCATCTTGCCAAGTGAGTGTAAAACGAGAGCCTGTAATTGTTTTACATGATGGTAGGTTTGGTGGTGTCCCTTTTTCTGTCTCATAAACATGCAAGATTTCAGGTACATCTTGCTACTTCTAATTGCACTTAGGTCACACTACACATACATGTATACATACCCCTCTGGGTTTTCTTCTATTTTCTTTCTAGTTCTTGTTCTTGTTTATTTCCTCTTATCTCCATGGGAAAGTGGAACAGAATTCTTCCTCCTCCATAAGCCATGCGTGTCATAAGAGGCGACTAAAATGCCGGGAGCAAGGGGCTAGTAGCCCCTTTTCCTGTATATATTACTAAATTTAAAAGGAGAAACTTTCATTTTTCCTTCTGGGCCACACCACCTCAGTGGGATACAGCTGGTGCGTTGAAAGAAAGAAAGATGTATAATATGTATAATAATAATAGTACATATAATAATATAATATAATAATAATAATAATATAATATGTATAATAATAATAATACATATATAATAATAATGTACAACATAATAATAATTATAATAATAGATGGCTTTAAAGGGCCGTCACTAGATTGCAGTGTTTACCACAACATAGAGGGAGCGGTTGTGGCTGCCCCCACCTGTTACATAATGGCATATTTTATTCATTCTAGAGTATATATCAGGTTTCTGTGTTATTTACATTGTTTATTATTTCATATTAGATGAACTGTGATAGATAAATAAGCTGTAGAGTTGTTGATAGCAAAATATTCAATTGGTATTTTGTCCTGTCTCCAGACAAACTCTCGTCCACCACCGACACTGCCCATACCACTACATGAATTACATATTTATTCATTTTAGAGTATATTTATCAGGTTTCTATGTTATTTATTTATTTATTTTTTTTTTTTAACAAGTTGGCCGTCTCCCACCGAGGCAGGGTGACCCAAAAAGAAAGAAAATCCCCAAAAAGAAAATACTTTCATCATCATTCAACACTTTCACCTCACTCACACATTATCACTGTTTTTGCAGAGGTGCTCAGAACACAACAGTTTAGAAGTATATACGTACAGTGGACCCCCGGTTAACGAACTTTTTTCATTCCAGTAGTATGTTCAGGTGCCAGTACTGACCGAATTTTTTCCCATAAGGAATATTGTGAAGTAGATTAGTCTATTTCAAACCCCCAAACATACACGTACAAACGCACTTACATAAATACACTTACATAATAGGTCGCATTTGGAGGTGATCGTTAAGCGGGGGTCCACTGTATAAAGAATACACAACATATCCCTCCAAACTGCCAATATCCCAAACCCCTCCTTTACAGTGCAGGCATTGTACTTCCCACCTCCAGGACTCAAGTCCGGCTATATAAAATAGCCGGTTTCCCTGAATCCTTTCACTAAATATTACCCTGCTCACACTCTAACAGCTCGTCAGGTCCCAAATACCATTCGTCTCCATTCACTCCTACCTAACACGCTCATGCACGCCTGCTGGAAATCCAAGCCCCTCGCCCACAAAACCTCCTTTACCCCGTCCCTCCAACCCTTTCGAGGATGATCCCTACTCTGCCTTCCTTCCCCTACAGATTTATACGCTCTCCATATCATTCTACTTTGATCCATTCTCTCTAAATGACCAAACCACCTCAACAACCCCTCTTCAGCCCTCTGACTAATACTTTTATTAACTCCACACCTTCTCCTAATTTCCACACTCCGAATTTTCTGCATAATATTTACACCACACATTGCCCTTAGACAGGACATCTCTACTGCCTCCATCCGCCTCCTCGCTGCAGCATTTACCACCCAAGCTTCACACCCATATAAGAGTGTTGGTACTATTATACTTTCATACATTCCCTTCTTTGCCTCCATAGATAACGTTCTTTGTCTCCACATATACCTCAATGCATCACTCATCTTTTTTCCCTCATCAATTCTGTGATTAACCTCATCCTTCATAAATTCATCCGATGATACGTCAACTCCCAAATATCTGAAAACATTCAGTTCTTCCATACTCCTCCTCCCCAATTTGATATCCAAATTTTCTTTGTCTAAATCATTTGATACCCTCATCACCTTACTCTTTTCTATGTTCACTTTCAACTTTCTACCTTTATACACACTCCCAAATTCGTCCACTAACCTCTGCAATTTTTTTTTAGAATCACCCATAAGCACAGTATCATCAGCAAAAAGTAACTGTTTCACTTCCCATTTTGTATTTGATTCCCCATAATTTAATCTCACCACTCTCCCGAACACCCTGGCATTTACTTCTTTTACAACCCCATCTATAAATATATTAAACAATCATGGTGACATTACACATCCCTGTCTAAGACCTACTTTTACCGGGAAGTAGTCTTCCTCTCTTCTACACACCCTAATCTGAGCCTCACTGTCCTCATAAAAACTCTTTACAGCATTTAGTAACTTACCACCTATTCCATATACTACTTGCAACATCTGCCACATTGCTTCCCTATCCACTCAATCATATGCCTTTTCTAAATCCATAAATGCAATAAAAACTTCCCTACCTTTATCTAAATACTGTTCACATATATGCTTCAATGTAAATACCTGATCTACACATCCCCTACCCACTCTAAAACCTCCTTGCTCATCCGCAATCCTACATTCTGTCTTACCTCTAATTTATATTGTTTATTATGTCATGTTAGAGTTGATATTAGGAAATTTTTGAAGCACAGAATTCCACTGGAATGGATTAATTGTATTTCAATTAATTTAAATGAGGAAAATTGAGTCTGCGAACGAGCAAATCCAGTTGCGAGCAAGGTCATGGAACGGATTAAACTCGCAAGTAGAGGTTCCACTGTATTCCTATCTTATCTATTGCTAAATTTACTCCAGTCTTGCTTTTTTTCTTGTGTGTGTGTATGTGTGGGTATGTAGGCACTATCACCAATTGTTATCTCCAGCAAAATTTGATTACCCATGGTAACCTTCAGCACTCTCAATAAACAGTTAATATACCAAGCACATTGAGAGTTTATGTAGTGTTCAGTTTATGTACATATAGTAAGTTCATGTTTGTTTGGTAGTGATGAAGAGCTGTAAATTTATTATTTAGATTGTTTTGTTTCTCATCACAGAATCCATGTCTAGTACGTGGCAGAGGTTGGTTGGCAGGGAAGGATGAGGGATTTGGTTTGCCTTGAGGGGAGGACTGGGGGATGAATGGGTGACACCCTTTCTTTCCTCTCCCCATGCAATTATCTGCAACACCCTTCCCCATACAATAATAAACTGAACAGTAATATTTGTTTACATTATCCTATGCAATCATTATTTGCATTTCATATAATAAACTGAAAAGTGAAATAAAATATTAGTTAGTCTTAAGGATGGGAACAGTGGCCAGTCTGACAGCTTTACAATGATCACCTGCTGTGTTTTAAAGTGAGAGAAAAATGAGTTTTCCATCATATCCAAGTATTTGTTTTTCATTTGATTATATGTTGTACTTTATGTACCTTTTATTTAAGAAAATTACCTTTAACCTAGCCTAGTTGAACCTAACATACACCAACTTGGAGTTTGACCAGGTCTCCCAGGAACCGGCCCAGATATCTCTTGAGCCTGACCAGGTCATCCTGGAGCCTGACCCGGTATCCTTGATTGCTAACCAAGCCTCCTATGAAACTACTGGATATTATATTAGTAACCTTATTTGTGGAATATGGTTACCAAGTATGGTTTTGCCCTCAGTATACCAAAGTAGGAAGCTAATGTACAGTAGGCCCTCTATGTAAGGTTTTTAACCTCTCAAAAGTGTTACATATGAATGGGTCAACCCCCCTACATTTTGCCTAAAAAATTGAGCTTAACACCTCATACTATACTTGAGTATATATGGTATATGATTTCCAGTGGCAGAAATAAAAGCATCATAGCAGCTACCTTTCACAGTATACATAGACATGCATTAGTGATATTGAAAAACGTTCTCTGGTGTAAGAAGTAAGAAGTAGAATATTAAAAGAGTTTACCCCTTAGACAATTTTTGATACCTCACAAGTAGACCACACTAAAGAAATTATTACTGTTTAAAATAAGAAAATCAGATCAGTTTGGTGAACCTGATTTGTGTTACACTTAGTATGTGAATTTTTATTGCAGAGAAAATATATATGTAGACTAAAAGGAATTATATAATTTTTGGGCAATGTATTATTCAGCTGTATTATTTTAGCAATTCACACTGGTCTCACAGTCAGTACATTTACTGTATTACATAAAACATTATTAACAAAATATCTTTTGGTCAGAAGTGCAATACATACAATGAGCCTTGACATCCACTGCATACTAATTTTTAAGGAGAAAACTTTGATATTTGTGAAGAATTCTCGATCCATGGAATTGGAGATACTCCTCTCTTTTGATCAGCCATGATTACCATCTATTCTTCAAATGCTGTATGACCCTTATGGATTTAGTAGTCCCTATGATAATAAATTAATAACTAGTTCACACAAGCTCATTTGTGTTATGGCACTGCTGCAACCTTTCCAAAGTTCTGTGTAAAGATGTGGAAAAATAATTAAACAAATAAAACATGCACACATACAGTATGTATATAAATATATATACATATGGTATATGAATGATATTTATATATTTTTTTTTTTAACACTGGTCTGTCTTGATATAGCTATAAGTAGAATCTTTCATAAGCAGTTCCTCTGATAAAATATTTATTATGGAATGTAAATGTTTAATTTTTCATACAGATTTGACTCTATTATAAGTGAAACATGTAATTCTTCCTCATTTTGAAATCAAACAATCTGATGAGTAAATGATGCTTCCTCAAGCATATGCAGATAGTACAGTACAGTACAAGGAATGTTATTTCTCTGATACTTAGGGGCTTAAGTGCTGTAAATTTACTGAATACAGTATGTATACTGAATACAAAATTCAGATAACAGTATCCACTGATCAGAACAAGCTAAATTTTCATAATTATTTATATACTAAATTAGGAGATATATATTTATCTTTAATTTATAATTTACAGTATATCGATTTAAAATTAACATGAAATTAAAGATTAAAATAAATAATCTGAGTAATGATTATCCCAAATGTATTTGCCACAGTGCATAAGCCTATAATGAATTATACTTATTAACATCTTATATAAAAGAACAATGTGGAAATATATATTGAGGTGAACCAAGGACTGTGTAAGAAGCTGAAAATATGTGAAAGTCAGTGGAGTGTTTTTAAAGGCAGTGAAGTGGTTCTTCAAGAGAAAGCAGAGCATGTAGTAAAGTCAGTGGTGTAATGAGTGACTAGTCACATAAATGTAGATATACAGTATACCAAAGTTTATAACCTGCATGCCCTCTAAAACCAGTTCATTTATGTAGTGGGCCTTTCTCTGAAGGTAGTTCGTTTAAGTATTGCACTTCCTTTTCATTGTGGGGGATTACTTCCAGGGTGGTTATGGTTGTGAAGGCTACTCTTAATACAGTTTTATGCATAGGTCATGCATGGAGACCCGTATGTGTCTCATTTACAGTTACCTGGAAGTTGAGCATGCCCCTGGAGCTGCAGACTTCGGCAAGTATGGTAGAAAACCATAAATCGAGTGATCATTACTCGTTTTCAGTATTACACAATTTAAATTTAGGTTTTCTTTTTTTCCAACAGAAATGCACCTACAGTGGAACCTTCGTTTTCGTATGCCCTGGTTTTCGTAGGATTCAGTTTTCAATGACTTTTCTCGTCTAAATTTTGCCCCAGTTTTCGTACATCTGCTCAGTTTTTATGGAGTTGATGCCAGAAACTGACCTCTCTGGGCAGATTTTTTGTGCAACAGAGATCCAGTGACTCTCAAGCTGGTCCTCGTGCCAGTAAAAGACAAAGAAGGGAAGTAACCCCTGGATAGGGTCTTGATACCTGAAGTCCTTATGGATGGGGATTTCCCTTCCAAACAATAATGTCTCCTCCTCCTCCTCCTCCTCCTCCCCCCCTCACCATCTTCCATGTGCCAATAAGAGTCTTCAATAAAGGTAAAAAAGATGTTAAATGTTTATCCATTTCATTAGTCATTTATATTTATTTCTCATTGTTTTCTGTATGTAAAACTATAGTTATTATCTATAAAATGTATAAATTTGTTAATATTTTTGGGTGTCTGGAACAGATTAACCCTTTCAGGGTTTTGGCCGCACTAGTACGGCTTACGCACCAGGGTTTTTGACGTACTAGTATGCCTAAATTCTAACGCCCTCAAATCTAATGAGAGAAAGCTGGTAGGCCTACATATGAAAGAATGGGTCTATGTGGTCAGTGTGCGGGGTATAAAAAAGATCCTGCAGCACACAGTGCGTAATGAGTAAAAAAAAACTTTGACCGTGTTTTTGGATTAAAACAGCGACTTTCCACTGTATTTTCGTATGGTATTTATTGTTGTATTCTAGCTTTCCTCATCTCATTTTATAGAATGGAAGACATATTACAGAAATTGAGATGATTTTGACTGGTTTTACAATGAAAGGTACCTTGAAATTGAGCTCAAAGTAGCAGAAATGTTCGATTTTTACCAAAGTTCAAAAGTAAACAAATCATGCTATGCGTCCAATACACGTCAACTGGTGAGTCTAATATTCTTTCACAAGTGCGCTGATATTATTTATACCATTTTTTACACTAATGCAGTAGTCTGCATAACAATAAATCTTCTATTTTTTTGTGAGAATAAAAATTCAAAGTGGAAAGCAAAAGAATGTAAGAGGGGTGTGGGGATGTGACCAATGAACAGGGGAAATGTTATTTTAGTGCCAGGAATATCTTTCTTGTTTATTCTGGACCCTATTCGGAAATTGACATCTTTTGAAATTTGTGTGAAAGGCAAAATTGCTAAATTCTGACCATTGTATTGGATAGTTGAAATTGGTAAATGGGTGGTTTCTTGTACTCATTCGGTAAAAAAAAAATAGTTCTAGCGAAATAGTTATGATTTTTGTTGACTAGTACACTGGAATTGGCCGAAAATAGGGCTCAAAGTAGGCAAAATCGCTGATGCGTAAACATCGTCGAGACCGCTAACTTCACGAGAGCATAATTCTGTAAGTTTTCCATCAAATTTCATACTTTTGGTGTCATTATGATCGGGAAAAGATTCTCTATCTTTTCATAAGAAAAAATAATTTTTTTTTTTTTTTAAATTTGGGCGACCCTGAGAACAAGTCTCTGAGAGGGCCTGTCGACCCTGAAAGGGTTAATTGGACTTGCATTATTTCTTATGAGAAATATTGCTTCAGCTTTCATACAATTCAGTTTTAGTCAGACTTTTTGGAATGAATTAACCACTACAAACGAGGTTCCCCTGTATTTCCATTAAGGTACTTAGGAGCAGATTTCATTTCCATTGGTGGTGCGCATTTCCGTTAAGAAGCGCTGGAGCAGAATTCATTTCCATTGGTAGCACACATTTCTGTTAAGGAGTGTCACAGCAGGCAGATGTGACAGCTCCCAAATATGCATTAAGCAACTCATTGTTTTAGCATTGCAAGAGAAGGTGTGACGGGATGTAAACAAACCAGCCACCTACGCAGGTTAGTTGTATCTCGATGTGTACTGTACAATTTTAGCTTAGCATACATTGCTCAGTGTATAGAAATATGCTTAATTGGATAAATCTTATTAAGCCTGCATGAACAAGTGGTGAGAGCTGTGGCATGCTAATTTTAGTGATTACTGTAGATCAATGGTTCACAGAACCGACACGTTGATAAATTAGACACATGTGCACCTCTTGGGTATCTTATTGAGGAAACGTTTTGCCACACAGTGGCTTCATCAGTCCATACAAAGGAGAATCTTGAAGAACAGGAGGAGAATGAGGTAATCAGTCCCTCAGCCTTGAGTCGATGTGGTCAGTCCATTAATCTTGAATAGAATATGGCATAAGTGCGGAGAAGGAGCTTATAAACTGTAGGCAGGAGAGGTGCAGAAGTCGTAGGTGGTGTCACATTTGTTCAGTGTGGAAGTAGGTCATGCCCAAGGGTTAGGCAAGTGAAGAATTCCCAAGTATTAAGATACCAAGAAGTTGCAGTGTCTGACAGGATTGTAGATCAATGGTTCACAGAACCGACACGTTGATAAATTAGACACGTGCAGCTCTTGGGTATCTTATTGAGGAAACGTTTCGCCACACAGTGGCTTCATTAGTCCATACAAAGGAGAATCTTGAAGAACAGGAGGAGAATGAGGTAATCAGTCCCTCAGCCTTGAGTCGATGTGGTCAGTCCATTAATCTTGAATAGAATATGGCATAAGTGCGGAGAAGGAGCTTATAAACCGTAGGCAGGAGAGGTGAAGCAGTCGTAGGTGGTGTCACATTTGTTCAATGTGGAAGTAGGTCGTGCCCAAGGGTTAGGCAAGCGAAGAATTCCCAAGTATTAAGATACCAAGAAGTTGCAGTGTCTGACAGGATTGTAGATCAATGGTTCACAGAACCGACACGTTGATAAATTATGGACTGATGAAGCCACTGTGTGGTGAAACATTTCTTCAATAAGATACCCAAGAGTTGCACATATGTCTAATTTATCAACGTGTCGGTTCTGTGAACCATTGATCTACAATCCTGTCAGACACTGCAACTTCTTGGTATCTTAATACTTGGGAATTCTTCACTTGCCTAACCCTTGGGCATGACCTACTTCCACACTGAACAAATGTGACACCACCTATGACTGCTGCACCTCTCCTGCCTATGGTTTATAAGCTCCTTCTCCGCACTTATGCCGTATTCTATTCAAGATTGATGGACTGACCACATCGACTCAAGGCTGAGGGACTGATTACCTCATTCTCCTCCTGTTCTTCAAGATTCTCCTTTGTATGGACTGATGAAGCCACTGTGTGGCAAAACGTTTCCTCAATAAGATACCCAAGAGTTGCACATGTGTCTAATTTATTTAGTGATTACTGTCGAGGTGTGAGATTCTCAGGTAAGGTGTATGGGCTGTGCTTTTTGTAACATAGAAAGATCAGACAGAGGGTGTGCCTCGCAGGAGTTGGTGTTGGTGGCATAGTCAGCAGGTTGGATATTATGTCAGGCAATGGGAAGAAGCCCATTATCTGTCTTAGTGCTGGTGAAAATGACATCGGGAAGGACAGGAGACAGGAGCTGCTGAATAAATACAGATCAGCCATAGATGTAGTCAGGTGTAAGGGAGGGACCCCAATGATACGTAGCATCTTGCCTAGAAGGGGAGTGGGCAATGAATGGCTGTCTAGGGCAGTTGGTATAAATTGCTGGCTAGGCAGGTACTGCAAGGAACTTGCAATCCCATTCATTGATAACTGGGACATATTCTATGGCAAACGTGATATGTATACAAGGGATGCGGTTCATCTCTCTGGGACTGGAGTGGTTACATTTGCCAGTTCGATTGAGGGGGTTATTGGCAACATGTCTAGGACTTTAATTAAATTGATAGATTATAGAGGTATGGGTGTCTGTGGGAAACAATCAGGCTGCATTACTAGGGCTGAGAACAGCAGACATAATCAGGATACCTCAGGGATATGTTTAAAAGACAATATTCAAAATAAAGTTGCTAGTAAAGGCAAAGCAATTGATCAACAAACAAAGAGAGATAGTAAAGGGCAATGAGTGACTAGCTCCCCTAAGGCTTACTATACAAATAGTAGGAGTCTAAGAAATAAGATAGATGAGCTAAGATTACTTGCAAGTGCAGGTATTATAGATATTATTGCTATAACAGAGACCTATTCAACTTGAAAGATAGAGAAATGCCTTCTGAATGCAGCATACAGGGTTATGAACTATTCCACACTGATAGGGTGGTGGAGTGGTGATGTATGTCAGAGATAATTTAAATTGTTGTGTTAGACAAGATATAAGATTAGAAACATTGAACACAGAATCTGTTTGGCTACAGTTTCTCAAGGGTCATGAAAAGTTAATTTTTGGTGTGATTTATAGGCCCCCAAACCTTGATAGAGAGTGCAGTAAGCTGCTATGGGATGAAGTTCATAAAGGCATCTAGATATGAAAATGTTGTGTTAATGGGAGATTTTA